TTTTTTTTAAAATTATTCTGGTCCAATCAAGCAAGCTCATCCACATCATTATGGAGAAAGAAGTATCTAGTGTTTGTTTTTCCCAGCAAATGATCGTGTAATCCTTTGGGACTCCCTACATGCACGAGGAGTTCGAGTCTCGGAAATGTTAAAAGATTGCCAACATCACTCCCTTTTCTCAATGGTCCATTTACTTTCCGGAGAAATAGACGTTCTACTTCTGCTTGTTTCTGCTCAAATCCACATTTCAAATTGCAAGGTAGTGCAGGTTTATGCGCCTTAGCGAGTTGCGAGCAATAAGATTTGTTATCTTTTAGATGTTTGAAAGTCTTCTGCAGTTGAAGGAAATCCGTGAGAGGTTTGACTTTTGGATTCGTGATTCACATTGCTTGAATCCAGTTAATAAGTCGGTTTTCTACTTTTTCAGGTTGGTTTTTGCTTTCCTCGCATTGCCCATACTTGTTGTTTCACAAACTTATTGTTCAGATCAAATGAAAAACTTCCTCGCAACCGTCTTATAAATTGGTTGATACAATTTTACAACTTGCTTATGGCTAAATTTTCGTTGTACTTCACCAATGTTCTTGCCAATTTTTGCAGTATAGACGATATAAAGGTAAGTCCCAGTGTATACATGAAAATAATCTATCAAGTTTGAATTACTTGAGATTACTTTTGTTTGTAACATAACATAACACAACATTTAGACGGTTCACACTATCGATAACGGGTTTAATTTTATCTCAAACGCAACGCAGTTTGTGAAGAAAACGGATGCTGTATGTTTGGCCATCGTTATGGATAGAGAGAAGTGCTCTGAAAACTTCTATGGTGAGTTTCATTTGACGGGTGATTCTGTATCTCTCATAACTGCTCCTAGGATTCGGCTATCATCGCCTGAAAGATCGTTTCACACCTGGTCCTCCGACAGAACCGCGAAAGGGAGTCGCAGCCTTATGTCCGGCTGTATTTCGGTTGCCTTCCCCTGCGGAGGGGCACAAATCGGTAAATTCTTGTAATTCAACTTGATCCTTTTTCAAAGCAGGCAGTTTGTTTAGGCGCAATCGCATAACAATGTTTTTGAGAAATATCAGGGAGATATCTACGGGTTTATTGAATCGAATCTACGGCATCCAGCGAAAAACAGATATTTCTACGATTCTGAGAAAGACCACGTGCGTGCACAGTTTTTCATTGGGAATTTGAAGGTTTTAAACTGATCCTTAAATTTCTAGTGCATGTTTGGTGACATAGTGGAGGCTGAACTATATATTGTAATCGTTTATGCTGGTCGAGTTTGCGAGAAGGATGCCGCTGTGCTAGCGTTCATTCAACAAATGACGACATCCCTGAGAGGATCGCGTTTATTTTTATCGTTGAAGAATGCAGCAAAATAGTATTGTTTTCAATGCAT